GAAAATAGATAGATAGATAGATAGATAGATAGATAGATAGATAGATGATAGATAATAGACAGATATATAGATATAAACAATAGGTTTTTTTGGTATGGTGCTAGGGATCAAACTCAAAGTCTTGCTGTGCTATGCAAGTGCATCACATGAGCCAATTACCATAAAAATATCCTCTTAAAATTTTTTTCTTTCAGTACTGAGGAAAATATCCAGTCTATTTTGTTTCTCTGAAAAATTTTTGGCTAATACAATGACATTTTTAACAGAAAAATTAGGTAAAAATATTTGCAGCACATTTAACCAATAAAGGATTAGTTTCAGTAAACAAAATTATTTTTAAACCTAATGTCAAATAGAAAAAGACATGAATAAGTTCCCTATCTAAGATAAAGCAAGAACAGCTCCTTGGGGATTGATAATATTGACCCTAGATTATGAATATTTGCATTTTATGTTTACTCATTATACTATAAATACATAAATAATAGTATAGACATATTAGAAATATAAATAAGAAAAAAATATAAATAAGATAATATAGATATACATAAATATATGTTTAAATGGTCTTTTATAGACTTTTAGTATTTAATAATAACTTCACAAGAACAAAATAAAACAAAAAAAGTAGAAAGAAGGAATTAATTTTAACTCCTAGAAATAATAAAATGGGAACTGATACACTGTAAAAATGTGAGGGAAAACTTCAAAACAGAATGTTTAAGACTGCTAAAATTCTATCAAGCATTATTAAGGGAAAGAAAACACAAAAATATGAAGAATGAGTAAGGCAATATAACCATAGATACAAACAAATATCTATGGTCTATTAAAAGACAAGATGGCTCTGATTCAGAAAAATTCAGCATCTTCATCAACTTTACCCAGTCTGAAAGTATCCAAGTGACATTCTGTCAACTGCTGAATTCTACAAGACATTTAGAGAGGAACTACTGTCACTACTGTTCAAACTCTTCAATGGAATTGAAAGGGAAGCAATACTCCCAAATTCATTCCTGGAAACAAACATCACTTTGATCCCCAAAGCAGAGAAAGACTCAACCGAAAAAGAGAACTATAGGTCAATATCACTAATGAACCTAGATGCAAAAATCCTTCATAAGATACTGGCAAATAGAATGCAGAAGTTCATCAAGAAGATCATACACCCTGACCAAGTGGGATTTATCCCAAGGATGTAAGGATGGTTCAAAATACACAAATCAATAAATGTAATATACTATATCAATAGAGCCAAGAACAAAAACCATATAATCATCTCATCAGATGCAGAAAAAGCATTTGACAAAATCCAACATGCATTTATGATAAAAACCCTACAAAAAATTGGAATAGACGGTCTCTACCTCAATCTGATAAAAGCCATCTATGAAAAACCAACAGCCAATATCATACTAAATGGTCAAAAACTAA